TGTACTGGTCCCGACGACATTCCAAACAGCTTTCTTCTACGATACTCTCTGTGGTGTGCACGTTATTTGTCAATCACTTTTCCAAAATCCATATTTTCAAGCACTGCCCCCAGTCTTGGAAACTAGCCAAAGTCTTGCCCTTGCATAAGTCTAGTAACAAGCAACTCCTGTCCAACTACAGAATATCACTTACTTCAAATTCCAGTAAACTGCTTGAGCATGTCATTCACAATCATATAACGGAATATCTTGAGTTAAATAACCTACTCTCGAACATTCAACAAGGCTTTCGTCGTGGTTTCAGCACACTAACACAACTGGTCGAATTAGCGCATGACATATCCAGCAATCTTGACATTGACAATCAGATTGACGCGCTATTCATAGACTTTTCCAAGGCCTTTGACACCGTTATACACAATAAGCTGCTAAGTAAAATTGATGCTATTTTAAACAACTCTCGATTAACCAACTGGATAGCTACCTTTCTTAGATTTCGATCTCAATATGTGTCATTCCACTCCACTTCGTCCTCAACTGTCGATGTAACTTTGGGTGTTCCACAGGAATCCGTTCTAGAACCTTTATTATTTTTAATATTTATAAATGACCTTCGAAACAATTTGAAGTCTCAGGTCAGTCTTTATGCCGACAACTGCGTCTTATATCAATTAATTTCTTCTCCTAGCGATCATGCCTTACTTCAGGATTCCTTCACCAGCTTTTGCACATGGTGCAGGCTTTGGCATTAACTTTCAGAAAACTGTAGTGATATCATTCACTAACAGCCGTTTTCCATTGCTGCATGATTACACTTCAGAGAACACAATAATTCCCCGGGCACAAGAGTATAAATACCTTGGGGTTATCTTATCACACAACTTACATTGGTCGCGGCATATTGATTACATCACATCCAAAGCACTGAAAAAATTAGGTTACCTGTGTCGTACGTCATCTAAATCTCCGAAACGCACCAAGTTACTGTTGTATAAAACGCTCATACGCCCTATACTAAATATGCTTCATGTGTCTGGAACCCAGTATATAACATGTGACGTCAACAAAATTGAATCTGTTCAAAGGAAGGCGGTTAGTTTTATTTGCCATCGCTACGATCATAACTTTTCACCCTTCATCAACAATGACTTCCTTGAAACTCCCTCTCCTATCCACCAGACGGGATACAGATTCTTTCAAGCTATTGCATTCATTTCTTCACTCATCTTGTCGACTATCTTCAGATGATTACATCTCATATGCTGATACTCTTTCAACTAGACGTTACCACAGCCTACACTTAAAGCCTTTCTTTACACACACGAACATTTTCAAGAACAGTTTTTTTCCTAGAGTTATTCAAATGTGGAATGACTTATCCGGTAGTATTCGTGAACTATCGTTGTCGGAATTTGTAGACGCACTGTTATAATAAATCTTTTTTTTTAAGTCAACCTTGTAATCAGTGTATTTTGTTCATGTAAATGTACCCCACTCCTGCAATAGCCCTGTATTGGGCTGCAGTATTTGAAAATAAATAAATAAATAAACTCTTATTCCTAACTCTTCCCAAGCTATGGTCCTGAAAACCTCCTGTAAACACGAGATGAATAGTACTGGAGAGATGAGAGATTGTATCTCTCTGCCTTACACCCTTTTTTATTGGAATCCTGCCACTTTCTTTATAGTGGCTGTGCATCCACTGTAGATTTCTTCAAGTATGTTTATGTAGCGTTCTCCGATGCCCTGATTCAGTAGTGCCTGCATTGCTGCTGATGTCTTGACTGAGTCAAACAACTTCTCGAACCCTATGAAGGCTATGTATAGGTGTTAATTGTATGTGAAGGTGTTGTTTGATATGTTTATGGCACACGATAACGTTAACATTATGGTACATTCCACAGTGCAGTTAAGTGCGGTGTATTTCGGTCGGTGCATCTTCTTTTCATGATCTAGCAGTAATTTGTTTTGGGCAAAAAATACCAGTTATGGTCTTGTTGCTTTTTCCCACTTCATAATGCAAATTATTGAATAAAAGATCACATCTCATACATTAATAAAAAGACCAGGGCAGCGGAGGGCCTTGCCACTTTGATCACGCACTACCATATTGCAATTTTCAACTGCAACTCAAAGACCACTGCTTGGCATATTTTATGCATAATAAATTCTATTGTTGCAATATTTGTCTGTGTAAACATTTGGTTGTGAAAACATGCTCAGACAATCGACAACAGCTGGTCCATTAGTTTTTAAAAAGCACTCAAGTGGTACTCCATGCCTACTGACTATAGCACAGCGTAATAGTATTTGTCTAAAATATGTGGTCAATAGGTACGAAACAACAGCTACGGCACTTCAAGCAAGTTATTTGTAGTTAAATAAAAGCTGAGAGCACTTGATCACAGCACTATTGGAAGTCTGTCACCATGTACATATCTTTTGTACCTGTATAGGTTTCTGTGCTTGCAGGCTCATGCACAGCAAAGCAGAAGGAACCTACGTTGCTCTCCATTAAAAGCATAATAAAAAAATTTGATTTACCTCTTGCAGCCATACATTTTAACTAGGAAGTTTATCTGGTTAGAGTTAGTTGAGAAGGTAAAAGTACTTATGATATTTAGATGCTAAAACACCCCCTGAGGAGGCTTTGATGGTCAAAAATAAAATGCTTTCTTAGCAGAAAAACGAAGGCAAGGCTCCTCCTGATTGTGATTAAAAAAAGCCTGTGCTAGTCTTTGGCTATAGAGTTTTAACGCCCTTCGCTAACACTAAGGAAAGAAAACCGTTTTCTAGGTCTTAAGCTCTTTTGCTGGTCTCCAAACAATGTTATACTAAGCTCTATTTTTACTCCTTATATAGCTTCTTTCCTATCCTTTTATAACAAACTGCTAATACCTAAACATTAAATGTCTAGAAATTCAAATGCCTCATGTCAGATTGTCACAAATTATTCGGATTTTTTTTAGCGTGTCAGGATGGTGTCATAACATATTGAACTTCACTGTAATGAATAGAGTATTTTTGCTCTGATTTAACAGGTGCTGCTTCAATTGCTATGCTTTTGCACAGATTGTCAAACACATCACAAATGATCTAATAACAAATGCCTCAACTTAGTAAACAGAAAACTTGTATAATTCAAATATGGTGTTTCATTGTATGTCATGAAGAGGGTAACATTATTCAGTAAAAGCATTGCTGGTGATACCCGTAGTCATAGAATTAATTGAATTTAAATAATTAGTATTGAGGTTCCACTTTGTTGTATGTAAATGTAGTAGCACTATATTTATCCTCTTCTTTATGCCTCTGCATTTCATAATAGACATTTGAACAAACCGGACGTGTCGTATTATTATTGCCTGTCTTTGTCATATTTCACTCTGACTTAGCATAGTATTTGATGCTAGATGCCAAAAAAGACTAATATGTCAAATCTCCATTCACCACGAAGAGGTTTCTTTTTAAGCTATTGTTCAAGGCAGTGACGTTATTCAGCATTCTGCTGTAGAGCATATGAGCAATACTGTTTGTTTGTACCGGACGCTATACCACCGGTCCCATATACATGCTTTTTTGGTCGACACATGTAGCTTTGAAAATCATCAGTGTAAATGCGGCTGTCTTTATTTACCTATGAAATAGTGCATTAAAAGGAAAAAAGTGTATCTCTAATCTTACCCTAAGGTAAAGGGAAATAGTACCGTAAAGTCAGGGGTGGATCCAGCCAATCATTTTAGGGGTAAGGGAGTTGCTTAAATTAACACCGGAGAGAGGGGCATGGTAATTAATTTTAGTTTTTTTACTAGCTTAAAAACTCTATCATAGCATAAATACTATTAATGTGTGCTTAAAGGAATCCCAGTCATTTGTCCTAATTGGTGATAACAGGTGGACGGCAAGCACTGAAGAGAGGGGGAGGGGATACTGACAGGCTTTGGGGTGGGGGGCGATCGCCTCTAGTGCCCCCTTCTGGATCTGCTACTGCATGCAGTTTTGCACAAGATCACAGGATTGATTCCGAACCTCAGGAGTCGCATTATAATAGTTGTAATATGTATTAGTGCCCTAGTTCCATGCACTCAGGGAGATTATGAGGTCAAAATAATTAAGCTTTAACTTCAAACACTGCATCTCATAATCAGATTTCAATTTTTCGACATGCAACCATCGAACCTAATTTTATTAATTCTTCTCTAAACCAGCATAGATGTACAGTGCTTGCAAAATTCTGATCCCAGTTTTTTTCATGTGAATGTGTGGTTCATCACAGAATTTGTGGCATTATTTAGCAGTGTGATTTTTCGAGGCCTTCCTATTGTCATGACCTTTTTTTTTTTACATTTGTTCAAACCAGAAGACAAGTTTACCAGGGAACATTTACTGCATGGGAGGATGTTTGAAATAGTTGGTTATGTGTTCAAGTTGGCCCATACACACACCTTTTGCAAATCAACAAAATTTCTTCATCTTCATTAGGCAAACTAATTTTATATAATTGTACAGCAGTCATGCAGCTATACTGTCAAAGAAATAATGTTTCAGGACAAATAGAAATGTTTAATAAAGGTTACTGACAAAAAAATGTAAACTTAGATGTCTGTCATAATGATATGGTGGTTTTGGGATGCTAGAGCCCACATATCACCAAAAATGATAAGGTAACCTTGCCTGAAAAAGTTGCTTGTTATTTACTACACACCTCGAGGATCAATATGAATTCTCTGCAATTAGAGACAAGTGCAAATCTAGAAAAAAGTGCACCTTAAAACCAAACGAGGGAGCAAATAAACATTAATGCCACTGAGCACTTTTACGAAATATCCTATCCAAGATTGCAGCAAAATAAGCATCTGCAAACATATGTGCTAGTAATAACAACAGAATGCTCAGCTTGAGGTTTTCGACGCAGGAAAAATAAAGAAATTATGAAAACGACCACATGCTGGATGATGAAGCCAGGACAATGTTTTATTAGCAGTTTTTTAAATGCTTACCTTATGGTTCGTTTCAATAATGTTCCTGGCTTAGCTCGTTGTGCACTTGGCTGGAGTGCAGATTCATTTCTACCACTGTCACTTATCCTCCTTTGAGGTCCTTGGCAGCAAGTACACCTACCTGTAACAGACAAGGAAAATTACCCCTCCTCCTCCTTTATTTTCCTGTACAATTTCTAGCAGCAGCCTATCTTTCCACTCCCAAATAAAGGTGGCAGGGAGTAAGCTGTGCATGCATGAACTTCACTGCATGACTCGGGCTACAATTCAAAGCATAAACTCTCATAAGAATTTGTAATAAGTGTTCACTTTGTTTGGATTGCAGATATTTAAGCGAAATTGGTTGAAACAAAATACGAAAATATGTGTGAATTTTTACTGCAAAGTATCGCACAGTTAAAATAGTGTGAGGAGAACACTTGCAGATAGAGCAGCTGAATTGGTGACAAGCGTTTCTTGGTTGTACGGGTAGTCACATTCAATAGGCCTCTTGTGCAGCCCTGGCAATGCTATGAAAAAAGCACATGCTAGTGCCTCCATTCCAACTTCAATCGCGAGTGGGCACTGTAAAATACAGAGCAAGCGCCCCCTCCCCTCCCGCAATTATTTTGCGACCTGTTGTCCACTACGGAATTCTACAGCAGCAGTTCTTTGGAACCAATGTTCCGAGAGTCCTTATATATGCGCAAGATTTTTTTTTAACACATTTACAATGTGATGGCTCGGGGCTGCATTCTGAGTTGTCACAAGTTGTCTGAACATTTGTAGAACATCTTTCTCGCCTAGTCATAACACCTGAAATTTCACACAAGGATTCTCTTCAGGTCTGTAAAACAGTAAATGCATGTGTATTCAATACAGCATTTCTTTAGAAACACAGGTGTGCATTTTTCTTAAAGGCACTTCTTCATTGAATTAGTGTCTGAGACCAAGCAAGGGCCCCCTTTTAGATCATCTTTCAGCATCGAGGGTGTGATTTCTCAGGATTTTACAGTAGTATGAAATTGGGGGTAGTGCTTGGGCCAGTGCTCATCTCTCACTTTAAAGTACTAAGAAAAGGAAGCTTGTACCTCTATGCAAAGAGAAGAAACACAGCATACCAAATACGTTTGCAGTGTTTCAAGTTTTAGTTCACCATGGTGAAACTCGCATGTCCATCAAACAAGTTGTTTAAATGAGGGAAATCTTCAGCCATGTGTAGCCTTTGAGCTTGTGAGGACACACTTCGCACGTTACCAGTCATGGTCAGCATGTCTATACACTGTTGTCCTTTATGAAAGGGAAAACGTGAACACATGGACTGCGCTCAGCGGCAACTGGCTACAGTACCATCAACCTACAGCTGATGAAAGCGTGCCTGCTTGTATTTTTATTAGCGCCTATCTAATGGCCATAATTCATTCTTTTGTTTGCCGACAGATGCCTTCAAAAGGCGATGTGCTTTGTTTAGCGGTTGTTTTGGTTGTTCCAATTCAGTTAGTAAATAATGGTAAGAGAGTACCGCCACAAAAACTAGACATGTCGTTTTTTTTTGTTGCAATGAGTGGCTAATGACCCAGTTATCTTGACTACAAACCTTTTTTTTAACGAAACGCACAACGGTTAAATTGCTTAAAGACTTTTTCATAGTGCTCTGCTCGGGCGTATGAACGTCGCCTCACAAGGTACCATAGTGCTGCAGACTTGTAGGACTGCATATTTTTTTTGCTTGTTTGAGAAAAGCAGTGCACAGGCTCATTTAAATGTACATGTAATCTGTGTCTGTTGCAAAAAATTGTCCTCTGTGTCACGCTTCCTATCCTCCATCCTCCTAGGATTATACGCATTGAGATGTGATACCCCTAACAATACAACTACACTGACTTTCATTTCTCTTTGGGCCAGGTGAATGAGCTGGTCAGCTACTGTACATCATTCTTATTAGTTTTTTTTTCTTTGGGTGTTGAAAGGACACTAAAGAGCGAAATCATTTTTCGCATACTATTGAAGTACGATTTCCCATCACCACTCTTACCACGACACGACGCTTGGCAAGTGCAAAACCGCGCAAAGAAAAGGTCTCACCAAACACCATGACATCATTAATTTTTATGGCATTTACTGGGTTCTACATAGCTTATAATCGATAAAAATGAAGGACATTGTCATCAGTGGGTGTCATAGACCTAGCATATGAAGTTTCAGAAAATATCACTGAGCCAATCGCAAAATTGTAAATAATACATTTAAAAACTTTTGACGTCATGCATGGACATTTTGGCACAACTTTCTATAGTGAAACTTCAACCGTAATTTTATCCACTAATAATGAGCTTGGGATAGTGAAACATGGCATTGGCATTAGAATACTTAGAGTGCAGTTTGTCAATCTAAACAAGGTCACTGTTTCTCTTCAGTATCCTTGTAATGCTTTCGTAAAATACACACAAGAAGCTTGTGAATCAAGTGCAAAGCTGCACAGCAAACTGGTGTTGGGAGTACACAGTTTGTACTATGTGATTTCACCCATGTCTCATTGCTGCAGTGAAGGGAACCAAACTGCTCGAGACTACAGCAGCAAGACACCTATCAATCCCTCCAGAGTTTCCTTCCACAGTTTCAACCACATGGGTTCAATAGTGGCAAAACATCACATTTATTCCACTTGTTCTTTACAACTCTATCATAAACAGAGACTAACACATGCATTTTTCTTGGTTTAAATGTTGTTTTTTGATCTTTCAGTGAATAAGTTGTCTTGAGGTAACACTGATATTATTGAAAATACAATCATTTTGAGGAATAGATTCAATATCTCTGCTGCTAGCCTCCTTTCTGACATGCATTCCTGACAATTGCATTAACTGGCAATTGTAAAAAGTTTCACCTTAGTAGTAAATTTACCATGCACCACCCTTTCAGCAAAATTAACTTCCTAGAAATGACGGTATTTATTGAAACATTATTTAATGTGAGGTATGAAAAAAAATACAAATCCTTTGCCCACAAACATATAGCAGGCAATGCCAATCAGAAAAGAAAAATGAACAGGGCAGAGCCTAGTGAAATTTTGAGGAGGAAGGATGTGCAGGAGAAGCAGACTCCACCCCCACTCGAACCAGACAAAAAATAAAAAAAGAGGAAAGATCTTGGTTTGGTTTACAATGTTGTTCTTGCTGCTAACATGTTTGGCCCGATTTAATCTTCAGTGGTAAATTTTTCTTGAAGTTCTTTCTTTTACAGTGAAATCAAAGGTTACGCACTACATAATGCAAACAAATAGCCAACTATAATACACAGACTACACAAGCCATCATCTATGACACGGCAAAGAAGAAATATTCATCAGAAAGGCAAAGCGTTTAAGAAGCGTCTGTAGTGACAACGATCACTACGCTCACCAATTAAGCAAGCCAAAGGAGACATTTGGCGAAATGACCTGAACAACACTCTGAACAAAATCCAAACTGAAGCTTGAAAATGAGGAAATCACCATTAGCTGAGCATGTCTCATAGCACAGCTTAACCAGCCGCTAGCCTTTGCAATCGAATACCGAAATGCATTTCCGAACTTAAATAACATCTTTTGCAAGTATTACCCAACATTAACTACCAACGAGCCACTTCGGAAAATGATCCCCGAGATGTTAGTGCATGCAAAAGTAAACCCGCATTTTTTTGTACACATAATACCTAGTTGTCAGCTAAGATTTAAGACCTGCAAACACCTTCAAGATTATGTTAGAATCAAAAGCACTAAAAGTGATTTATGCATAGTATAAAATCTAGTTTTACCAGCACTAGTTCCAACATTATCCACATGATTAAATATACATATTGTCACAAACAGGACAACATTTTAACATGGTGTAGTAGCAGAACTTCGACAGGGACACAGAGTACAAGAAAACACGACACTCGCTTTTCTTGTCCTTTGTGTCCCCGTCGAAGTTGCGCGACTACGCCACATGTTAAAATGATATTTCACCAACATGTCCAGCTCTCAACTCTACTGAACAAACAGGACAACCTGTTAACGTTTCATTAAATAGGCATCAAGCAAGCATGGCAAATGACTCGAAGCAATGGTGCAGCAATTTATAGTGGCAGGACATATCTTCAACAATCTTAAACCTTAAATCCAGTAACTAGCTTTTCGAAAAAGAAATATTGCCGCACCTTATTCACAAGTTTAGTACATTCCAGCCAACAAGTATAAATGTTTCAAAGGGGGCACTTGGACCATTTTGACATGGCACATACACAATGAAAACCTATAAAAAATAACATCAAGGAATTTTTGAGGCTAATTATCCCCATTGTCAGGTGGTGCTTTCTGGAGGCAAAGGTAATTCAGCAAAATGTCTCCTGCTTTTCTACCCATCAATGCAAAACACTTGCTCCCTCCTGCCCCTCATTTCTTTCTGTTTCATGGGCTTTTGATTGAGTTCCCCCTTTACCCTGGCGCAACCCATTACAGAGGATTGGCTTTTAACTCACCCAATTCAGCATGCCAACTTCTCGTTTTCATCTCCTTGTTTCGCATGTGGCCTTTCCTTCTTTGTTTAAGTTGGAGGAGAGGGTATGAAAAATAAACAAAATGCACTAAGGTAGGCAAGGGATGAATTTTGGCCTTGTTGGTACATCATAAGTAAAATATTTTGCGGTCATTTGCTGATTGTTAGCACCAGTGTATCCCACATTCCCTTCATCTTGATAAATCTGCCTTACACAATTCAGATAGGTTGGCAGTTGCAGCCTTGAAGAAGTCTGCATGTTGAGATGATGGCCTTAGTGGTAACCCGTGTTCGCAAATGCTTCATCTCTTTAAGCTTGTCTTCCTCACAACTTCTGTGTTTTTTGGTTTCATAACATGACACTTCTGATTTTTAAAAAATAATAAAATTGGTACTGCCTTGTATAATTCGTGTTAATAATGGCCCATTTTTGTCCGTATTTTGGTAGATTTTCAATGCACCCATTGCTTTGGTTTATTAAGAGCAATCATTTGACTGAGTCAATGAAACAATGATTGCTCTTCTTCGTTTATTTTCTGCCATCATTTGTTTATTTCCTGCCATCTTGCGTCTACAGACTAGTGCGTACTATACTAAGACTGAAATTATGAGAGAAACAAAAAGAATTGGGTTTTTGCTTATTTGTATAAGCAAAAACTGCTTATTTGTATAAGCAGTTTGTGCTTATTTTATATAAGATATGAGTGCAATAAAGATAATTCATTCATTCAGTCATTTGCATTGTAGCACAAAAATTGGGATATTTAGTGATAGCGTCTTTTTATTTTATTACCAGCGTGTCAAGTGCCGGAGGCATGAGTGCTGGCTAACCAATGAAGAGTTCATTCCTGGACAAAGGTGAAAAACATCCCCCCCTCCCGCCGACGCTAATCTGCAATCTTTTTTCGGTGGTTCATTAATTCAAATAGCATAAAAATTCGATAAGTGGGCCAAATGTGACGTATCACCCTAATTTGTTATGCAGCACTGAGCAGCTGGCTCGTCCGTCACTCAGAGTCAGCGCAGCCGATTTTACCTGGTTGAAACGCTCCCGCTGTATATCGGGCACAGCAGAAGAGCGACACATGATCCTAAAACCAGCGACGTGTTTAAATTACACACACAAAAGGATCAAAATGTGGGCCAGTTGGTAATTCATTTTCTTCGATCAGCGAACTGGGAGCGCAGAGAAAACACAAAGGACGAAGCGAGGAACCACACAACACGAGCGCTCAACTATCAACTGATTTATTTTCCACATCGGAAGGACATATATAAACACAAAAAGCGCATGTCAAAAAAGAATATGACGAAATCAAGGGCAGCATGCGAAGCGTGTAATCAAGGCACATGTCTAAGGGTTATCTAGGTAGCTGATTTCACAGTCAAGTAGTGAGAAGGAAGGATGACTTATACATTGGTCCGCATTCCTGGAAATGTGATAGGCTTCAGAAATTTCGCGCGTAGTTTGATGAGGATGCCGGAACAGAACAATTGTATTCTCAAACAGAGGTTGGCACTTGCACGAAACGCAATGTGACGCTAAATGGGAGTAAGGTGTATTTTTCAACGAGCTTCTGTGTTCCCTGAGACGCACGTTCACACATCGGCCGGTCTGGCCAATGTACATACGTCCACAAGAAAGGGGTATCTTATATACTACTCCGGTGATGCACTTAACAAACTTAGTTACGTGCTTCTGGAGGCATCTTCTACCTTTAGATGCATTATGTGCCCTCCTGTGCACCATTGAACATATACTGGCCAATTTATTGGGTGCCGAGAAAACCACGCGCACACCGAACCGGTTTCCCACGTTTTTTAACCCATGGGCCATTTTATGAATGTAGGGGATTACTGCCGCGCGCTTCTTATTCTCTTCCTTGTTCTCTGAAGAAATACATGTGCGTTTTTCATTATTTTTGACCGTACGCAAGAGCTTTTCACAGACTGAGCCTATTACGTAGGAAGGGTATCCCGCACCTATCAGCCGTTCCAACTGTGCTACGAAACCACTTTGCAAGGTATGCAGGCAACATTTTCCGAGGGCTGAACGTAAGCATGACATTACGATTCCGCGTTTAACAAGCTTGGAATGTCCGGAAGAGTAGTCTAGAACGGGTTTTGCAGAACGAGGATTATATCGCCAGCAAAGGTGCTTATCACCAAAAAACAGGGAAAGGTCTAGGAACTGCAATTTGTTATCTTTTGGAAGCTCGGAGGTGAACCGGAGGCCCATGCCTTCCTTCTCGAAGCATGCCTTCATACTTTCAACGTCCACTGCTGAACACTTTTTGATGATAATCAGATAATCGTCAACATAACGGAATACTTTTGTGCCAGGTTCAAGTTTAGTGCTTAAGGCTGCATCCACCTTCCCAAGAAAAATTTGGCTTAAAACAGGGGCCACACTTGAACCTATACACACACCTGATTTTTGCATGTACAGGTTCCCAAGCCATACGACGAAGGTGGACTTCAAATAGAACGTCAAAAATTCTAGAAAAGACTGAGTCGAAATTCCCGTGCTATTCCTGAACGATATCTCATCATTGTCTTCCACAATGCACTGCTCTACGCTGTTTAACAGTTGATCATGCGGCAAAGAATAATATAAGTCGACTACATCAAGACTAAAAGCTGTAACACCGGAGCATTCACATTTGTTGAGGTATTCAACCACGACACCAGAGTTTTTTGCGTGAAAAAGGTCATTTACGCGCAACGCAGAAAGATGTTTTTGCAGATACTGAGATACAACCAACTGCCACGTATCCCTTTCTGAAACAATCGCGCGCAGCGGCATTTCCGGTTTGTGTGTTTTAATGGAGTAAAAAAGTTCTAGCTCTACACCTTTCGCCTTTTCTACTGAAGAGCCGAGTTTTTCCAGGCTAAGCCTTTTCAGCAGCGATATCGCTCTAGTCTTTACTTCCTTGCTTTTTACAGAGAGTGGTTTAAAATTTCTTTCTAAGGCTTCCTCAGCCTTCTTGAGAAAATCTAGTTCATTAATGATAACGAAGAACCCTTCTTTGTCAGAAATGAGTACCCTTAGCTGATTGTTCAAACAAAACTTAACAACTGGTTGACCGCGCAGTTTTTTACTCCCATCGCTAACATTGCTCGAAACTGCTTCGTAGCGTAGAGCAGTGCATTGTGGAAGACAATGATGAGATATCGTTCAGGAATAGCACGGGAATTTCGACTCAGTCTTTTCTAGAAATTTTGACGTTCTATTTGAAGTCCACCTTCGTCGTATGGCTTGGGAACCTGTACATGCAAAAATCAGGTGTGTGTATAGGTTCAAGTGTGGCCCCTGTTTTAAGCCAAATTTTTCTTGGGAAGGTGGATGCAGCCTTAAGCACTAAACTTGAACCTGGCACAAAAGTATTCCGTTATGTTGACGATTATCTGATTATCATCAAAAAGTGTTCAGCAGTGGACGTTGAAAGTATGAAGGCATGCTTCGAGAAGGAAGGCATGGGCCTCCGGTTCACCTCCGAGCTTCCAAAAGATAACAAATTGCAGTTCCTAGACCTTTCCCTGTTTTTTGGTGATAAGCACCTTTGCTGGCGATATAATCCTCGTTCTGCAAAACCCGTTCTAGACTACTCTTCCGGACATTCCAAGCTTGTTAAACGCGGAATCGTAATGTCATGCTTACGTTCAGCCCTCGGAAAATGTTGCCTGCATACCTTGCAAAGTGGTTTCGTAGCACAGTTGGAACGGCTGATAGGTGCGGGATACCCTTCCTACGTAATAGGCTCAGTCTGTGAAAAGCTCTTGCGTACGGTCAAAAATAATGAAAAACGCACATGTATTTCTTCAGAGAACAAGGAAGAGAATAAGAAGCGCGCGGCAGTAATCCCCTACATTCATAAAATGGCCCATGGGTTAAAAAACGTGGGAAACCGGTTCGGTGTGCGCGTGGTTTTCTCGGCACCCAATAAATTGGCCAGTATATGTTCAATGGTGCACAGGAGGGCACATAATGCATCTAAAGGTAGAAGATGCCTCCAGAAGCACGTAACTAAGTTTGTTAAGTGCATCACCGGAGTAGTATATAAGATACCCCTTTCTTGTGGACGTATGTACATTGGCCAGACCGGCCGATGTGTGAACGTGCGTCTCAGGGAACACAGAAGCTCGTTAAAAAATACACCTTACTCCCATTTAGCGTCACATTGCGTTTCGTGCAAGTGCCAACCTCTGTTTGAGAATACAATTGTTCTGTTCCGGCATCCTCATCAAACTACGCGCGAAATTTCTGAAGCCTATCACATTTCCAGGAATGCGGACCAATGTATAAGTCATCCTTCCTTCTCACTACTTGACTGTGAAATCAGCTACCTAGATAACCCTTAGACATGTGCCTTGATTACACGCTTCGCATGCTGCCCTTGATTTCGTCATATTCTTTTTTGACATGCGCTTTTTGTGTTTATATATGTCCTTCCGATGTGGAAAATAAATCAGTTGATAGTTGAGCGCTCGTGTTGTGTGGTTCCTCGCTTCGTCCTTTGTGTTTTCTCTGCGCTCCCAGTTCGCTGATCGAAGAAAGTAAATTACACACACACACACAATAAATGTACATCATGATTACACGTATCGCAACAAGAGAAATAAGCAACACGTACAGCGGAAGTATGGTAAACAATGAAAGTCTTACTTTTATTGTCAAGATCTGTATTAATATTTACAATAACCTCATCAGGCTGCTGTACAAACTGAGCAACTTGCTCAGCGAAAACGTTTTCGAATTGTGGTACATTAACACAGAGCGGTATTACCACCACTGCCACGAAATTAATGGCGCCCGGAGATTAGTTAGAGGTTGACAGCTTACCCGTCCTTGACACGAGGTGCTCTATGAACCTGTGAACATTTGTGTTCATCACTGTCGTCACTGAAGAGTCGATTTATCGCGAGGAAGAGTGCTTGCCACAAATAAACACGTATCTTGAACTTCGCACTGGTTCAACGACAAACTCGGAAGCCGCCATGACACTAGGGAGTTTTAGTGCTGGGTACGCATTCTCTTGGGGCGATGCGGGCTTCGGAGCGCGCGGCGTTGCGTGCCCAACCCATACCCAAACGGAATGCCTATGCCTTTTAGTTGGCGCGGTGGCAAGCCGCACGCAAGCAGCACGAAGTTCGCACGCGCTCGCCGAGCCATAGCCTCTTGTCGCGTAAGTATTATTTAAGTATTTTTATGATTTAAAATGTTAAATTAATTATGCATAGTGACCAGGACCCTTTTTTATTGTGTACAGTAAGGAAGTGTTTCGGTTCCCCCGGTGGCACGAACCCTTTTGAGACAAAACGGTTCGGTTCACTCAATAGCCGCTTAAAACCGGCTTGACTTGGCTTAAAGTGTATGAATAGTTGGCGTTAGAATCGGTGTGTTAAAAAACACTTTTCAGACGATTTGGGCGTTCTTTATTTTGTGGTTCAGGTAGAGTTCCTCACTAGCTTGTGACACACAGTCTGTGGCGGGTTCATCGTATTCTAGTCGTGATGTTTTTTTCTCCGATGTTGGTGTTGGATTGGACTGTAATCTGTTTGAAATGGCGAGAAGCGCCTCTGCCCGTGGGGTCGTGGTCGCTTTCTGTTGTTAGAAAGTGATTCATACGCAAGTCGCTGCTGCTTTTCTTAATTCCTGTGATGTCGCCGTGCTTATCGAGTAGTTAACGTCATTCGCTCGAAGCACAGAATTAAGCCCAAACTCCATACGCGCGAAAATGCACGCGACAGCGACGAGCGACGCTATGAGCGACGAAACAGGGCGTTCGCGCGACGTGTCGCGTGCTCGTTTTCGCGCGATCGCTCGGTTCTCCAGATTTGGAAACCGTCGCTCATCGCCCGGAAGTGCTGGGCTCAAGCAGCCAATAGCGAAATACCGGAAAAGACAAAGACTACATAGATGCACGTGACCCTGCCCGAGTCACGTATGCGCAAGAAGAAATAACGCAATGTTTATTACGCATGTGCATATAAAAAATGCTGCAAGGCAATAATAAACACTTTCCGTTTCATTAAACAACAATATATCTTATTTTTAAATTGGAAACCGCTCGCTACGCGGTTTTCTTGGTGCGAGTTGACGGCCTCATGCCAGCAACAGTGGAATTCGCTCGCCGAAGCCGTCGCGTGAATGGAGTTTGCCTGCGCGAGCGACTGATCGCGCGACGCCGATCTACGTCGCGTCGCTCGTCGCTGTCGCGTGCATTTTCGCGCTTATGGAGTTTGGGCTTCAACACCTACCAGCCCGAAGTGTTTGCCACCAAATCTACAAGCAATGACAATGAGCATAAAATAAAGGCCTTTGGAACGCGACTTGTGAATATTTGTCTGATGCATGTACTACGCGGATGTATGGTAGGAGCATGCGTGTTGCTTGAGGACCGATCAAACAGCTGGTGTCTCTTGGGAGGAAGTATATACTGTGCCAACGCTTTCATTGAAGCTTGTTCTTGCGTAAATGCGCGAGATAGATACGGAATGCACAAGTTGGAATTAGAGAACGTTCTTGTCCGAGTGGCTTTATTAAGCAGTCGCAGATGATGGCAATTTGTTTGCTTAGCAGTGTGTGTTTAGATTGGGGTAACCAACAGTGAAGGTAGTTGTGTGTGGGTGAGAAAATTTGTTTTCTTTGTTGCGGTGCCTTCCAAACAAATCCGTTATTTCTTCTCTTCATTGCGTCGGTCTCTTTATGTGGCATTAAATTTTGCTATGTGCTCTTCGTGACACTTCCTCTCGCTCTAGAATGCTCTAGTAAAAGTTGACGCTAAAGTTCAGCTGAAGTGTTTAAAGTTCCTTGCAGCTAACCACAGCAACATTTCTTTGTCTATGTGATCAGACGGACGCTCGTTACTTGGCATGCCTTTTATAACGCAAAACGTTTCTTTTTTTTTAATTTACTTACTGAACAGTCCGAAAAAAATCGGGGACATTTGTCCCGACTGCGAAATTCGGAATTCGACAGCGATATTCGGGACGGCTGGTAACACTAGTTTATAGGCAAGTGTATAACAATTAAAAAAATGTAATAAAATAGAAATTTCATTGCTGGGAGCATTGTCGAGCTTCAATTGCTAACCCGTAAAGGTCTTTTTAAAAGTTAACATTGCCATGGGGTGAAGTGCTTGCAGTGTATTGCAGTAAAGCATACATTATGCGCGCGTGTGCGTGTGTGAAATGGAAGCGTAGCACTGCTATTAGGCCTAATGCGATGCGCCGTGCTTTGTCTCATTACTGGTCATGCGACAGACGGCATCAGCACCAACTTCAATCTTTGTAAAGAGTTCATATGTTCCCCCATAATTATTTTTTAGATACGGAAGCATCTTATACTCGCGCCTTGTAGTGCGCCGTCCGCACCGCTTCTCGAACATTCGACAGCTGACGCGCGCGCATGCGCCATCGCGCCGTCGCCCACTCTTCCACCATCTGTGCATCCCTTCCTCCTCTACACACCGCGCGTGCTTCACTCCTCCACCATCTGTGCACCCTTCCTCCTCTACACACCGCGTTCGACATCTACAATTCTCCTGATTCTCCAGTGGACGCGCATGTGGCGTCGCGCTTCGAGAACATTCAACAGCTGACAGTGCATGCGTCGTCGAGCTGTATATATACTCAAGGTAGGCGCTCGCTCAGTTGCCGCTCGTCGGTTGGTTTGTACGGCGCGTCGACGTCCAAGGTCGCGGTGAAATGAATTCCAACGAATCCACAAACACAATGATCGACGTCCCTTCGACCAGCGCCGCACTTTTGCATGCGTGTGTACGTGTTCACTCATTTAACACCCCCTCCTACAACCACGTTAACCAATTTAGCCATCGACCCAAGTAAGTCGCAATTTAACACCCCATTTCACAACCACGTTAACCAATTTAGCCATCGACCCAAGTAAGTCGCACTTTAACACCCCGTTAACCAATTATATGCTCCGCATCCTCCTCAGTGTTCCCCCGAGGGAAGCTGCGGGCAATTTTTTTTAATTGTGGCAAGTGATTCACACTGCAGTAAACTTCTAGTATATCGCATGAATAATTTAAAATTGTTGCATGACCCCTAATAAAGAAGTGAAAGATACCTGTGACAGACTCCTTGGTACTCCAGATTTTGTGCCATCAGATATGTGCTCTAAAATGAAAATGATCATTATTAGTGAAATATATACTCAGGCTAGGTATTGGAGACGATTGTGCATGTTTTGCAAATTTCCTTTTAAAAGCTCATGCTTCACTTTTTCGGGCTTTCTTTAGTTATTAAGAAAAATAGCTCCCCAAGAATGGTCTAAAATTAAACACACGGTTTGTCATGGGGCAAGTTGAGCTTAGCAAGAAAATGATTTATGAAAACCATTCTGTCGCATAACTAAGAGCAAGCTGGTTTCTGGAAACATGTTGACCTGAGATGATGGCACGTGTTCACGCATCTTACAAAGGCTGCTTGTTGTTATAATGTGGCTGTAATTGGACAAATGTCTGTCATCAGGTGTGGAGATACATCGCATCTCTGATGATCAAATTTTTAAAGAATGGGTTTTCAGGGGATGCGAAAAACTTTTTTTGAAGGGGTGAGCATTAAAGAGCATTACTTTATTAAAGTCTCCAATTTCATTAGGTTAGCACTGAGGCTTGCAGGTATGTTAAATGAGCATGGTCACTTGAGTAACACTCAGAGGTCAATAAGTATAGGGTGAACAGCTAGGTATGTATCAAACAGGATTATGCAAATTGCAGAAATAGACATAATGAAGTTGTCGAGAAGACTTTGTTAACAGTACATTTACAGGCTTCATGCAGAATTTGCTTTCCAGCAGGGTGAATTTACTTTCGCTGATGCTTTCGATGGCATCATTGCAGTTCATAAGCACTGGTTTTACGGACTGCACGTGATGATCTTGTTTTTTCAAGGTTCATGAACTGATTAAAATGTATAGGATCAAGAAACTTACATGCTGTCTTAAGGCATAATCAGGCTCACCATAGAGGTAAGTGGTGAGATTTTAGTTAGTTGTATGTGGGAGGTCTGTGTACATAACATCATAGTAATCTTGCAATGCTGTAGCTTTATTTGTGTAACGAGTGAAGCTTCTTTTCCTGTTAAAAATTTCTGCCAAGCAAACAAGTTCCAACAGTAGGATTTGCCCTTGGGTAAAGCTGGTGGTAAAAGTGAGCTTATTCAGAAGCCCTTCAAGAGTACCCACTAAAGGAATTAGTACCTATAGGGCGAAAATTCCAGTGCACCAAGAAGGGCAAGGGAGGACGGTGCAGGTTAACATTTCAGGAGGGCATCTTCTGGACATCATCCTTCTCTAGCCACAAGCTTGTATGGCCAATGTTTAGCAGACTCCTACTAATATAAACTAGGTATAAATGTTGCCTCTCTATTGCAAGATGACACACCATATACCTTTTGAGAGTCTCCTCACCACAAGCCCTTACATTAGCCTAAAAATATTTTTTTCTACGGTGCCCTTTTTTTGTCCTCAACAGTTGTCTGAAGCAACAATATGCACATTGTGACAGTCTAGCTGGTGACCACAGAGAAGGCTCCCGCCATCACGAAGTATACTTCACTCAAAATGTAAGACACTGCAAAATCCTAGTCCGGTGTGCGTGCATACGACCTTGAACATGCAAGCAGTGACCACTTTTCTTGTGTTCTCTGCACTGGCGCATGCTTGTTGCACACCTGTTCAAGATTGTGACAATGAAATTAGTTCTGGCAATGCTGTCTCAGAGGTAAGACTGTGTACGCCCTTAGAAACATCATGGTGGAGCGAGCAGAGATTCATATCAAATGTAGTAATAAACTGGCAACACCATGGTGATTTAGGCACACTTGCATTAATTAATTACACTATTTATTGAGGCAGACATCGCACCGCTAAGCCTAGCTGCGATCTCTTATCGTTACTGTCTACATAGTTTTCCCGTTGGTCACAGCACAGGAAGAAAAATTTGTCTGTGGGAGCACCATATTTTAAGCTTGCATGACTCCAATGAAGCACTGTGCGAACAGATATATTGAAAATGTCAATACTTCGGGTCCTATAAATATTGAACTGGTTGTCACATTCAGCCGGTGATCC